TCCTCTGTGAAAAGGCTTTAATATCCAAAAGGTGGGACCTGCTCTCCAGCCCAGCAATGGAACAAACCAGGACACAGGAGGTTTCCAAACCATAGCGGTGATGCCAAGCAGCGCCCGGAGCAAGCAGATCTCTGGGCTTGACCCCAAGTCCAACTACTGGTTCTGGATCGTCCCCTTGGCAGGCAGTGCCACCGGGCCGCCTTCACAGAACTACAGTGTCGGACCAGGTGAGCCTTTCCGACTTTGAGGACAGTGATTCAGCCAATGACAAGCCCTTAATGGGAAGGGTTTTCTATAAACCAGGTATCCACAGTAAATAAGGTTTATTTAGCTCCTGTAAATAAAGGCATTTCTGTGTTTATCCTGCCTAAACACCTCCATGCTCCCTCACCCAGTTCAGAAGCAAATATTTTTCCAAGATGCTGTTGAATCTGTTAATGGTCAGGAATGAGAATGCAGATTCTCATATGATATGATACATGAGGAATTTCCTTTATTCCAAAGTCTTTTGCACTTCCGGTTCCAGGCCAGGGACTGAGCAAGGCGGCCATCCTGGGCCTTGCTATCGGAATCCCCTGCGGTTTCCTCCTCCTCCTCATCATCATCGTTCTCATCATCCTCTGTGTCGTCTGCTGCAGACGGAGACGTGAGCCTTTTTTAACATAATGCTTGGGCCTCCTCTTCTTGTTACTCATAGTGAGAGCTGTTCGTTCTTTGTTTTGTAGGCCGACGGCCTAAGTATCCTGTCCCCAAGGCTTCTGAGAAGGTAATCTGTACTCCTTTCCTGTAAAACTGATAAATTAGAACATTAAATGCTTTAATTTCCTTGCTTCACATATGGCCACAATGGTTACTGTACTATTACTGCCTGAGTGATGATGGTATATANTGATAAATTAGAACATTAAATGCTTTAATTTCCTTGCTTCACATATGGCCACAATGGTTACTGTACTATTACTGCCTGAGTGATGATGGTATATACACTGTAAAAAATGAAACATTGGATCAACTTAAAAAATTACTTCATTTTTTCACACTTAATTTTTTCAAGTAAGTTCAACTTAAAATAGTCAATCTAATACATTAGATTTTTTTCACTTAGCTAAGTGAAAAAAATCTAATGTATTAGATTGACTATTTTAAGTTGAACTGACTTGAAAAAATTGTATTAACCCAACTTGAAAAAATTAAGTGTGAAAAAATGAAGTAGTTTTTTAAGTTGATCCAATGTTTCATTTTTTACAGTGCAGTATGAAATGGGATGGGATTTTGTGGATTTGGGTGAAGAAATAGCCATTCTAGGACGGCTGAATGGGAGGGGGAAAAAAAGTTGGATATTAGCGGTGAGCGAATGAAGGTGCAGCCACTAATAGCTATTTGCGCAGAAGATCTGTTATTTTTGTGGGTAATTATGACACCTTTCTGCACTCTACGAAAAACAATCACCTAATTACAATATAATCCCGTCCACACAAACACTACTTTAAAACATTTGTGCCCACATAAAACGCAAAAAATGGCTGTCCACAGCATGTTAAACCAGCTTCTGATAATGTTCACCCTGGATCGAGTTTTGCAAAAACTCCGTTTCAATGAACTGAAACTCCAGTTTACGTGTGGATGAAAGACCAAAAGGTTAAGAAAAAGCAACGTCTTTTAAACATCCGTGTACATGTTGAAAAATCCTTTTCCCCGTTTCTCTATACGCGACACAGAACTGTTTTCTTAACAACTAACTCAAAAATCGCACCTTGTACCCTTGCTGTGGTTCTTGACATTAATTCAAAAGGAACTAGTACTTAATATGGCTAGCTAACACAAAATAATATCTATATATTAATACTAATATTCACATTGAGCATTTCCCAATAAACGGCTAATGACGACCAATCTATGTAAAATAAACTTGCTAGGTAGATGTTCTACATGTTCTACATAACTATGTTCTACCCAATACTAACTTTAAAACGTCAACATGCAATCATGTTCTCGACTAAGATATAAGAACAAAAAATTACATTTACAGGTTCCATTTTTCATTCTTACCTGAGGACAGCATTTAAAGTAACGGCAGGCTTTGTGGCGGTTATTCTCGGAGACATGCACAGGACTTGCGCATGCGCGACCCAAGCACACAAGCAATTTTAAGCTTTGACCCAATGGATCATTCTGCTTTAGTGGTGCAGTTTGTCTAATTGAGTCTGTTCAGCTAAAAAACTTAAGTTGAACACATGACAGAAAATAATACATCAACCCTACATGAAAATTTTAGGTCAAACCAGCTACACCCTTGTGACACTTTTTTCAGTGTATTGAAAAACAGATCATAAAAGTACATTTGAACATGCTTTTATATAAGTAATTCATATTATTACATTCAATATTTTTTTCCTAATCGTGCGGCCTTGGTTTGCTAATTACTTTGCTGATTAAGTTTTCTTTTAAACTTTCCCAGACCCTTTTGCTTTTTATCAGTGGGTCAGTTATGTAGGACAGAGGTACGGCTCAATGAAAAGGCTGCATCTGAGTGAATGTAGCTTGAGTCACTCAACGTTGTCCCCTAATGGTGCTGATCAGTCTTCTCAGCCGAAAATACACGATTGCTAATGGGAAATGCTGTGATCACACAGGTAGTGACAAGCCAAACCAGTTTGAACCCCACGCACAATTGGGTCACCGGCGGGATTCAAAATGGGTCTCCTGTCAAAAACCCCAAGGTATCTCTGGGTGGAAATGCCCCTTTTTCTTGCCCTTGTTGGATGCCTCCCTGTGGGTGGTACAGCTCTCACTCCTGTGCTAACCATTCTCCTTTCTCTCCTAGGGAATCCCCGAGCGACAATTCCCCCTCCCCTCCACAGGGACGCTTTCCCCTATGCGGTTGGCCACAACTGTTTAAAAAAGAAAAACTGTACTTCCCTGATATGGTTTTATATTAACAGTGATGTATATCTAATATTATGACATTTTGTTCTTTCCATTGTAATTATTTACACTCCTGCATTTTAAAAATAAACCCCTCAACATTAAGTAGGAGCAAAGTCTATTATTTAATTTCTAACAAACTCCCAAAAAAAAAAAAAAAACAGGAACCGTACCTCCAGGTGTCAGCATTCTCTTCCTGTTGGTGTGTAACTTTCTATCCTTTAACCATGTCATCCTTTCCATTTACTGGACATTCAGTCTTATTGTCTACCAATAGTGACATAAAGCTTCTTTAATATGATGCTTGAAATGCGGCATGACAAGAATATAAATTAGGCTACTTAATCTTTTATTGAAGGCAGGTTTTTTATATATACTGGTATCTATCACTTATACTAGCAGTGTGAATTTTTTGCACAAATTATAAGTGAATTTTCAAGTTGGCAAAATGGAATTTTGAATGTGTGTCTCCACTAATGATGTCATGCAAATTTCCTTGCCATTTACCATCCAGTGAAATTGAGCTCCATCCATCATACTTCAGAACAGAGTGGTCTTATGTTACTGCTAAAGCATTTCCAGCTCTTATTATGCTCTGGAACGGTGAGGGAAATTGTAGGTTGTGAAATGAAGGGTGGGGTTGCTACAGTGCGTTAAGTTGCCCATTTGAACTTCAGCTGAATTTTAATATACAGTATCTTTGGATTGAATCAGATTGTAGAACAAGACATTCCCTTTAGAGGACATACTACAGCCCTTAATTAAGGAACTTTGCCAGCAGCTCAATCTTGGTACATTTTTATATACTTAAAGTTCAGTAGCTTTTGAGTGAATAAACAATGTGCTCTGAGACAGGTTGGTGAACAACAAATGTCCTCTAGAGGAAATACCGCAGCCCTTAATTCGGGAAACATAAGCACAGATGAGCAGAGATGCACTGAGTTAGTCTCCTTGAACACCTTTCACTCCCTCTGATCTCCTCCGCAGGCTAAGGTTCCTTCATCCCCTCCTCTTCATGACCCTCTGTGTCTGACATCACACCATGTTCAGAAATATGAAACAGAAATTGTTTTTCCTCAAGTCATTGGCCATGCTCTCATCTGCTGGTAACAAAATCTTCCCACTATCAAAGTATTATTCGCAAGTAAACCAGTCACAGAATATTTAATTATTCTTACAACTATAAATGAAAATATGTCAGATAAAACAAGTTTCCTTTATAACAAAGCAGGAGTATGTAACAGTGCATGTCTGACATCCTATTAACTGGTTGTGTGGTGATGACTGTCCTTTAACTTTTAATGCACCAGTTACCTGTTTTGTCCCATGAAACAGAGCAGTATGTAATGTCCCCTGTAGGAAAGAAGGCCTTGAATTCTCTCTGCAGCTATAACTGCTAGAGGAGGTTACTTTAATGAATCAAAGATATGACAATTTCTTGCTAATAAAGGTACTCAAATGGTGAACATACAGTACATTTATTTTTTTATTTGCAAAGAATATTGAATGTATAAGTAGTAAATATTAAGTAAGAAGTGTGGCTCTGGAACCCATGCGGTACTGGGGGGGAGCACTCTGTCTGCAACACGAAATGCTCAGTTTTGCTGACAGTGGAGACATTAAGGAGGGGCAGTGAAAGGCCTTGCTTAGGGGCCCAACAGAGAAGCCATTTCAATCCGGAACCTTCCAATCACTGGCACAGCATTATAACCCACTGAGTCACAAACTGTCCCTCATACATAGCTCTCGTGAAGAATGTGGCTGGCTGATAAAGATAAAGATAATCTTTATTGTAATTGTCACTTGAACAATGAAATTGAAAATGCAATCAACTTAATGTGAGGCATAAGAGTAATAAAAAATATATATTAAAAATATGCAAATTGCACTGAATATACAAATTGCACTGATGAGATATAAAAATTAACAGTTTCTATTGTGAATTTAAAGCCATGATTGCTGTGGGATAAAAACTGTTTTTAGGCGATTTGTCCTGGTGAATGAGACTTTAGAAATTAATGTTATCTGTGCCAGAATGAATGTGTACCCTCCTACCATCCTGAAAAACATGCTTAAAATGCAGATGCCTTGATAGCAGGTATCTCTGCACTGATAGTTATACAGACAGGGCTCTAAGCATGTCTGAAATTTTGTCTCAGTTATTCCTTTTTGAAAGAGAAGATTGCCAGGACACACTCTGTTCCTCTCTTGATACTCATCTCGAATATTGTTATGAAGATAAACACACCCACCTTTTTACGTGAATGAGTATTTAGCATGTAAAAGAGAAAACTTGACTGTCTGGAATGTTCTGGAGTCCATCATATACACAAGGTGCTTTCCATTACAGGTCACCTGACACAGGAACAATGACCCTTAGAATGTGGAGGGGAGCCAATGTCTTCATTATGGTTTGGAGGTCAAGTGGGCTGCTGTCCATGGGGGACATCAACCTTGATTCTTTTTATCCAGTTGCATGGGCTCCTCAGAATTGGATCATCGAGCATTTGAGAGGATCTGTTAAAACACATATTAATATTATTACACACACACAAACACACACATACATCCATCCTTTATCCACTACTTGTCCAGGTCCTGAGTCATAGTGGCAGCAGTCTGATCAGAGACTCCTCCTTCCCAGCCTAGACAGATACCCAACCACCTCAGCTGGCTCCTTTTGATGCGGAGGTGCACCAGCTCTTCTTTGAGCTCCTCCTGAATGTCTGAGCCCCTAATACTATCTTTAAGGCTGAACCCAAACTCCTTGCAAAGAAAGCCTATTTGGTTTTAGAAATATCACAATATTACTCAGTCCTGGAACGTTGCCATGGCAGCTGCTGCAGCAGTGCTGTTTTTGTCCGTCAGAGCATTGTTTTGCGGAAGACAGACCAAGAATTAAGTGCCGGAAATGAATGAATAAGTTTGTGTTTTGCCTCTCTTTCCCAAAGCCCTTCCTGCTGAAGAAATCTGGTACCGTCGGCTGGCCTGTGAGATTAGCGTGAGAACTAACATGCAGCGTAGCTCTAGGCTGAACAAAACAGCCGACAGTTGTACGTAAAAGTTGCCCCGTAGTGCAAGATGTGAATAATTTACTGAATGTGGTATATCAGCAGCTCCACGGTATTCCCAATCCCAATGTTCATCTGGCTCATTTGTCATGTTCGAGGAGACAGGCAGCTATGAAGACGACCGGGAAGTACCTCGCCCAGCCTCTAAAACCTCACACCACACCAAGGGATGTGCATCAGAGGCCGCAGAATAGGAACCAAGCTTCGGAAACTCATATGGTGTTGAGTGAGGGGGAGGTGCGTTTGCTTGCCGTGTATCTCGTTCTGTGGGTTCACCCAGACTACTCATAAACTTGGAATGTGACAATTTTATTGATGTTTAGCAGGGCATTTCCCATATTAAAAGGATCCTTTTAATGGAAGGTTCCCCATTATTCACATCCATCTGGAAGGTTCCCCATTATTCACATCCATCTGGAAGGTTCCCCATTATTCACATCCATCTGTCTTCCTGAAATGCTTATTCAGTGCGGTGCAGCAGGGCACTGGGTGGAATTCCTTTGGTGGAAGGACAGGAAGGAGACAGTGTATGGGTGCCCATGTGTAACACAGGAATCCTGTTCTTGAATCTGCATTAGGTGCCAACAAAAGACAAAGTGGGCAATTTGAACATTTACATGCTGACTTCAAGGAGGTGATCAGGAGCCAGTGTAGATGCCTGCAGAACCCCGAAAAGTAAACTGAACTGAACTGAACTGATCCTACGCGTGAGAAATTTCTGCTCTGTTTTTTAAACCAAGTTAAGGCCGTTTATCTTTAAGGCTGCCCAGGTTAATTCTTTTCAAATTTTTCCAAGGATTTTGTACTTACTGCTCCAAAGACACGCAAATAAAAAATGTGCTTTAAAATCACAGCCTTGCGTGTGATTCACCAGTAACATGGAAAGAAACAGAATTTAGAGGTGGGACTCCAGCCAACCACCAGCTACTCAAGCTGCAGGCAAGGCACGGTACCTTCGAAATATTTTATTTTTGTCTTTATGGAGAAATCTACAAGAAACAAGAAGCAGCAACATGCCATTCACAGAATGACTGTCCCTGTGCAACTGAACAAGAGATGTTTTATAATTAATCAGCACAAAGATCATTTGGTTTCTGTGCAGCTGGCAAGGGGCTAGTACAGGTGGGTGGACAAAAACAAAGCAGGCATACAAAGGCAACACCCCGTGCATTTTTGTTACCAGTGGGGTGTATTTTGTATTTGCCATCCCAGGAGATTAGTATAAAAACTGACCTTCCATACTTTTTGATGCTACTGAATGATACTGGCTCCTGCTGAACCGCTGACAGCAGAAAGGGAATTTTACGCAACGTGCCACATGTGGAGGAAAAACATTTAAATCTGAGGCACAGTCATCTGACACGCTGAAGAGGGACCATAGCTTCCTTCTCTCTATAAATGTAGGTACAGGGGAATTCCTGGTCTAGGGGAATGTGGCCCTAGCCTATGTACCTTAAATGTCCACGTAGGAACACACATGCAAATGAGGGGTCAGTCTGATTCGCTGTTGTAGTCCACACTGCCTTTCCGTACACCCTCCTGATCCCCTTTGCCTCCCTCCTCTTCACTCTCCTTGTCCCAGTCCTTCATGGATGCCCCCATCATAAAGTCGTCCCGCAAAATGCTCCACGACGGCTTCTCCTCTGGCTTGACGGCAGCCTGCAGTTAGACAGAGAACAAGCAATAAGTCGAACTGATACTGGAAATATATTGTACAGCCTCACTTAACACTCTTTGGGACTATCCCGCCTGCTGTCCCTAGAGGGTGCTGTACACTCACCACCTGCTTTTGTGATGCAGGAACAGCGCCAGGTTCCGCCCCACGCAGAACGTCGATAAAGTCTTTCTTGGAGACCGCGGAGAGCAGCTTGGCCCGCTTTCTCTCCGACCCGCCGACTTCCGTCATTTTGTCGTCAATGTGTTTCTGGTGTTTCCTCACAGCATTGAACAGTTGGACCACACCCCTGTGAAGAGGTGTGATTGGTGAAGAAATCAAGAGTCGTTCTTGATAAACAGCCCATAAACCACAGGACAGTCTAAGCAGGTCAGGGAGATAGCGCGACACACTTGTGTGCGTTGTTTCACTGCCCTCATTAACAGGTATGACAGACCCCAGATGAGGAAGATGACAAGAATAACAAGGATCCATAACATGCTGGCTGTGTTTCGGGTTTGATCACAGGAATGAACATGCGGCCAAATGGTTCACACACCCCCACATGGTCCCCATAATTCCTGTGGGGAGTGTGTGTGTGTCAATGTTGCGGCCATGTACAAATTCTCACCTGGTGGCAATCCGTTGCAGGTTCCTCTCAGTTTCTCGGTCTCGCACCACATCCGGTTTCTCCCGGCAGAGCATCTCCCAGGCCCTCTTCTTATCCAGCTGCAAATTGCAGGGGAACACAAATGAATGCGGCCAAAATGTTCATACAGACCCTGTTATGCCCCCTCCCAATCACCTGCAACATGTTATAAAAACCCTCTTCCATTGACCCTTTGCCTGACAGTACCTGCTTCTTCCTTTCCAGTCGCTCCTTCTTTTCCTTCTCCTTCACTTTATCCAAGTCTTTATTTTTCGCTAAGATACTCGGTTTGTCCTCTAAAGTTTTCTTGCTAAGAATCTTAGCCATGGCGTCCGCCCATCCCGCATTAGGATTGGTTTTCTCCGAGTCCTCAGCCTGCTCGCTTTCGCTCGCCCCATCATTACTCTCATCGTCGGAGTCTCCTGTGCTGTCTCGGGCGTCTGAATGGCGACGTTTGAGAAAATGGTTACAGGATCAGAAACACATACTCACACACAACAGCGGTACGTCAGCCCCTAAACCACATGTTTCAAAAATATACACAGGCACCACCGGAAGTATGCTAAGTAAATTACAGCTTTTAGCCAGGCTGCAATGTCTAACAATATTAAATCCTGTAATAATAAAATCAAAAAACTACAGATTTGCTTAAAAAATTCAAATTAAGATATTTTTTATTATATAAGCTGCCTCGTTTTTGGTTGAAAAATGAAAAATATTACCGCTATGTTCTTCCAAGCTCACATGTGTTGATTCCAACAACGACGCCATCTTTGCAGTTTTCTTCTTCCCTTGTATTTTTTTTATTTTTGTTTTCACAATGGCAGTGTGCATGCTGCCACCTGCTGTTGGGAGTGCGCAGCACATTGACTTTTTGCTTGAGCGCCCTGGTATTATCCGAATGTTGTCATATACTGCCACCTGTTGTCCATAAGTAGGCAATACAACGGTTTTTCCACAACGTCATGACATATCTGCTGTTCATAAGTGCTTTTTGCTGATAATTCCACGCCGCCACACCAATGTATATATGTATGTTTTCAAAATACGTGCTTGCTCATTGTGATACCTTATATTACCCTCGTCAATATCTTATAAATAACCTGTAGTATAGATTCTGTTATATAAAAGTGAGAGACAGGCCACATTTGCTACTCTGGCTACTTTGACTCTTTGGTTGTAACTGTTCAGTCATGTGAACATTGATTTCAGAATCCAAATCTCTTACATTTGCTGTCTGAGGGATTTTTATATTAAATTTTCAATTAGAAAAATCACATTAATTTGGGATACTGTTGCATATTTATCCTCAAAATTGTATTGTCCTCATAAGAGATGCAGTTGCTCAATGAACCTTCAAATCTACAAGGTGTGTGGACAGATCTGTTTAAATAATTTTGTGTAGCTGAATTATTTTCCTGGTGCATGACAATAATTAGAAAAACCTAATAAAGTTTTCCTACACAACAGAAAGATGCATTCAGACCCATATGAACTATGCAAAATGATCAGCATTCTATCTCTTTTCAGTTCCTAGTGTAGCCCATATGTGACAGCCTTATGAGCTGAATAAAGCTGGTGTCCTTTCACAAAAATAACCCAGCAGGTTTGCTAACTAATAATAGCTTTTGTTTCTGAGGGCAACATCAGTATTCCCACCAGAGATTTTGAAACCTGTTTAACAAGAACATTGGATTTTTTTTGTTCCTTGGAAGCCAGTACCTTGGAGTCAAATTATGACTGATGTCTTTATGATATTTTTTTACATACTTTAATTTATATAAGGAATACAATTAGAAAGGTTCACTCAGTTTGTATGCCTGTTTCATATTTTGCACTTTAGAATCTAAGATGGCAGTATTACCCTTTAGCTGAATTCCTCGTTTCATAGTACCACAGATATGGAAAAGGTGAGTATCCTGTCAGAAAAATGGGTACAACTCAGGTACTGTTTTGTACCACAAGGTGCAAACAACATTAATGTACCCCCAACAGTACAAATGTTCCTCAGAGTCAACTTCTGTACCTTAAGAGGTATGTTTACCTACAGCTATAAGGTACAATTGGCAGACCCCTGAGGCTACAGACCCAGTGACAAGTAATCCTCAAAGGTACAAACTGGTACTTTTTCTGACAGTGTATATACATCCCTATGAGTGAGTGAAACATGCACAGACAGAATACTATGAAAATAATATGAAATATATGTGGTTTGTGCTGACACTAGTAAGCATACAGAAAATCAGTGCATAGTTTTCGTTCATATTTCAGTTCCATTAAAAAATAGGAACAATGGGATCAGTTGCAGGACATGTCCCTCCACAGCGCAAACAGTAATTTCTTTCGGACATTATCAATCGGCCTCGATAAGCTAAGCATTACACGCGATTGTAAGACGTATTATCAACTGCATTATCGACCGATCGTTCCCTTTTCTTCTGCATAGGACACAGTTGTTCAGAACGACAACAACATCGGCAACAGAAACAACAGCAGGGGTCTCCGTGGCGCACATCCCCCCCCCCCAATTACCTGCCGTGCGCAATAACAATAAACAGAATAATATTCCGATCATTTTGCACTGCGAAACAGACCGAGACTTTACACTTTGGTATATTTCACATGCACAATTGCAGCGACTAGCACTACCGGCACCATATGCGGACTATTTACAGTGATATTTATTCCCCGGAACCAGGGCACTACTGGAATTTCCTGTGATGTCACGGTGCTTGGACACCATTTTTCGTGGAGTTTGCAGCTGTTATCGACGGGCAGAGAGGGGGGGTGGGGCGAGCAGGACGCTTTGTGCATGGGCTTGCGAGCTCCGGGCTGGGCGATCTGACAGCCCCTCTGCGAGCTCCGAGGCCAGTGCGGCGCAGAGGCTCGAGCTCTGGCTCAAGAAGCAGCGACGGACGGTCTGGGGCGTTCGCACTCACGGCGGGCCTCTCGTACCGTCCCCGCGGCCGTTTCTCCTTAACCACGGACCAGGTTTCTCTGGTTGACGCCGGCATGCAGGCGAACGGCGCAGACGACCCAGGACGCGATGCGGGGACGCCGGGCGGCGAGCCGCTGCGCTCCAACGGGCTGCTCTCCGGCGCTGCCGCTGACGGAGATGGGCTTTCCCCCGGGACAGGCACCGGAGGTTCGGCCACCCCCGCCCCCCCAGGATCGGGGTCGATAAAGAAGAAGAAGCGTCTCACTCAGTGGGATGAAGACCTCGTCCGACTCATAGGGCAGCATCTGCACGGTCTAGGTCTGAAGTAAGTCCGCAAGCCGAGCCGCAGCGCCCGTGTCCGTCCGTCCGTCATCGGCCTCCTCATTATTATTATATCTGGGGTGGGCAGCACATATAACCGGCCATAAATAGAGATCCTAAAAAAACTCAAACATAACATTACAGAATAAAACAACATATATTATTGTCAATGATGTTGTTATGAAAAGCTGTCTCGGAATACCCAGTTATTTGATTTTGTCATATATTAAGCCTGTAAACATCCCGGTAGCCGCCGTACAAAGACTCATTTGGGCATTGCTGAACCTGCTAAGCGGAATCAGCTTACGGGCAAACGGCGAGTTGTCCCTGAAAGCATTTAAAGCCGCGTTGAAGGTCTTCGCTTTTTAAATCTTATTACCCTCATTACATATTTTGTTTTTTCCCCCTGAATAACATTTTATTTAGTATGGTTCATTGTTTCAGTTCAGTCCAGCATTACTGATATGTGTTTACAAGTAAACAAGTTGCGATAGAAAAATAATAATAATTCGTAATAACATCATTATTATTAATTATAACAATAATAAACATAAGACTCAAATCCAAGACAGGAAGTGATGAAACTGACTTCCTGTCTCCTGGAGTGACACCTCTGGACAGGAGCTTGTTTATAAACACATGACTCATGGAGCACACTTGCTGCTGGTGGACATTTGGTGACTGTGGTGATCAGTTTCCAGACACTGCACTGGAAAGGAGCCTGATACAGGGGGCTGGATTTTATTAAAAGATGTCAGCATATATGATTTTTTTAAATTATAAATTGGTGCCCGAGTGTGAATAATAAATGCAATTACATATTTTGATTGATATTTTAATTGGATGATACACTTCCAGCCAAAAATGACTCTCTGTAAGGCTATTCTCTGACAGCAGGATATGTGAAAATATGTAATTGTTTTGTTAGGACAAGTAAGGATGTGTTACTGTCTGCTGTCTGGATATGTTAGGATGTGTTACCGTCTGCTGTCAGGATATATCAGGATGTATTACTGTCTGCTGTCAGGATACATCAAGATATGTCAGGATTTGTTACTGTCTGCTGCCTGGATATGTCAGGATTTGTTACTGTCTGCTGCCTGGATATGTCAGGATTTGTTACTGTCTGCTGCCTGGATATTTCAGGATGTGTTACTGTCTGCTGTCAGGATATATCAGGATATGTCAGGATGTGTTATTGTGTGCTGTTTGGACCCATCGTTATGTGATGTCAGGATAAATTAAGGCATTTCAGGGCATGTGTTTATGGGCTGTCAGGATGTATTAGATGCAATGTGAAGTGTCAGTATGTGTTCTGAAATATTGACAGATTGAGCTGATCTAAGGCCATTTTTAAAATGTATAATTTCTTATCAGACTAGCAATGTATCAAGCAACCAGTTGCACTCTTTTGTTATGGACCAGCAAATGTTATGAATGATTTTTGCATAGAATCTGCGTCTGAAGTATCCCAGCCCCGTAAATGACCCTGACTGCTTCACTTTGTACCGATTGCTAGGATGTTGTTGCTGATTTCCTTGCCGGCTGCCCCGCCATACCCTGTGTCGCCTTCGTCAGCTTACAGGTCCTCTGTCTGCCTGTTGCTCCGCCCCACAGGCCGGTGATGTTTCTCCTGCCGCATTTTGCAGTCTCTGTGGTTTTAGTCCCCAATGCCCCTAAGAAACGCAGAGTCACACCCTATGGCCCGATATTGCTGCCACACAGCTGAGGCCCTCTTGTCTCTGTGGGCCATACGAGCTTTAATAGAAGCACAGGATTTTCGAGTGTCTTCATTCATTGGAGCTCACATTAAAGAATTGCCTTCAGGCAGATAAGAGGACCCACCTTGGGGCGTATACAAGGGCGGGGTCCTGGGGGCATTCCTCCCAGCAGAAGGCTGATTGGCCCCCTCCTCTGTCACTCATAGATTCCGAACATATCATTGGCTAATGATACAGTTGGCCCCTTTGGATGTATTATGGCCTCTTCTATACCCCCCTCCCAACTTACAAAAAATCCTAGAATTACCTCTGGGATCTTTTCAGGCTTGGGGGTTCAGTTTTGAATGGACACTGTCTGGTACAGGGTCTGGTGCAGAACTGATGTCATGATGGTTCTTCCCACTGAGGACCTGCATTCCCTCCACAGCCAGACGGTGGATCTCTTAATGCAGGAGTCCGGCTGTAGACTGGAGCACCCTGCCGCTACCAAGTTCCGCAACCATGTAATGGAAGGAGAATGGACCAAGGTAGGATGCCCAGTGCCAAGATTGACAGTGTACCTTATGTAAGCACCACACACGCCGGCTTCAAGTGAGCCCAGCCTTACAAGGTCACATGATCTAACTAGAGATGCAGCGATCGTATTGGCCAACTATCGGCATCGGCCAATACAGGAGCAATCGGCCATCTGCCGAAGGTTAAAAATGAGCCGATTATGTACTGCTGATAATTCCACCTAAAACGGTGGCCCATAATGCTTTGCACACCCATGTACTAAACAGTTATTAAAATAATTCCACATAGCAGGCAATTTCCTATTAACGAAAAAACTGCATTAGAAATGCATTCTGCATGCTCTGCTAAATTTTCTCGAGGAGGATCTATTAATAAACATTTCAACACAACAAATCTGATTGCACACCTGAAGGCGAGACAATGAAGAGTTTGAGTTCCCGAAAAATAAGTATGTTCCAATACAGAAGGCTGCAATACTGCCGAATAACGGTAATCCTTCCGTAATGCGAGTGTTTGATAGCAAAAGGATATTCAGTGCCAAGAGTGTGAAATCGAAAGATTTTACTTGGAAAATGAGAGTTTATCATACTTGATGATCAGCCCTTCTCTGCTGTAAATATTATGAATATTTAAGATGTGTACAGTTATATAGTGCTCTGGGATTGTTGTATGCCATAGTTGGTGTTTTTTTTTTTTTTAAATCAAAAAATATATTAAAAAATACTTCATATTTTTGGAATGTAATTTAATTTATTTTTTAATTTATTTGGGTGGAGTGTTTCTTTAAAGTTATTTAAGCAGAACCTCCCAAACAATTGGTGTCGTGTCAGTTTTCAAAATATAATCATCTGTTGGTGTCAGCCAGAAATTTCCTTTCTAGTTCTGACCCGGCCGCTTGTCTGACTTGTTTGTTTTCGTGACGCAGGCTGAGAGCGACCTGAACGAGCTGAAGGCCCTCATGCGGTCGCCCAGCGCTGTGGTGGTGAGTCAACACAGGGCGTAGTGTCAGCCGAAGGGGGAGGTCCAAGCTGAGCCCAGCCGTAGTACGGCTGCAGCCATTGAATATTTTCATATTGGAATATTCAGCTGAATTTTTTTCTAGCATATTTGGTTTTTGCTACCGATGTTCTGAAAATGCTCCCAGATTTTCAAGCGCTCTCGAGCAGTGCTTGGAGGACCGTCTGGACTTGCCTGGTTTACTTACTCGTGGATTATGTGCGAGGTACATGTGGGAAGGGTTGCACAGGCGCCATGCTATGGCCAGAATATGAACTGCACGTGAAGTTTGGTTATTAACCAATTTCAATGCAGTGGCTGGTGAAGCCTATGAGTAGTTCTCTGTATTTATAAAAAGCTGTTAGGGTGTTGGGTTAGGCAGACTACAGCAGGCCAAGCCTGATTTTTCATAAGAATTTTTTTCTATATTAACATTTTTTGAATGTCTCGAGTATTCTCTGCAGTACTAAACCACAGTAGGTAAAGGTGTTCTCAAGATTGTGGGGTGTGTGAATGGATGCTTCTCAAGAGGATCAGGGTGGCATCACCCTTGATCGTAGCAGCTGTGGCATGTTGGGAAATTGCACACGCGTGTGTCTGTGCCCGTGTGTTACCTCGTTTTGTGTCGCCCTGGTGCCAGCGGATGAGGTTCCTGCTGCTGCAGCAGAAGTACCTGGAGTACCTGGAGGATGGGAAGGTGCTGGAGGCCCTTCAGGTGCTGCGGGCGGAGCTCACGCCGCTCAAGTACAACACCGACCGCATCCACGTGCTCAGCGGGTATGGCTTCCGTCTCATCACAAGACAGAACCCCTGTCTGTGACACAGAGACCACAAACATCAGCTCACCTTCTGTGTCACGAGCTTATTATGGACTGATGTAACCATTTTGCTTAGTGGCTCTGCTTTCTGATTGGCTGTTGGTGACGTCGTTTCTGTGACTCCCCTGTGTGTGCCCAGCTATCTGATGTGCAGCCACGCGGAAGACCTGAGGGCAAAGGCAGAGTGGGAGGGGAAGGGGGCAGCTTCTCGCACCAAGCTGCTGGACAAATTGCAGAGTGAGGACATGCCTATCTGCACACACACACACACACACACACACTCACGATCTACCAGTGCCTACACCATATCACTCCAGCCCTCTAATACAGTCTAGACACACCTACTGAAAATAATTTGTTTCTCAGCAAGATAATGACCCTAAGCGCACCTCAAGGCTGTGTAAGTACTGTGTAAGTAAGGAGACGGTGTGCTGTGACAAATGACCTGCCCCCCCAACCCCCCCCCCCCCTGGCTGAAACCCTTTAGAGCTGGTTTGGGATGAGCTGGATCAGATTTTCAGATTTTTGACTGGTACAGTATATATATAAAATGCCAGCATTGATTGAAAACCACAAAAGAACCAATTAAGATCAAAAAGAAAGAAAAAAAGATTCCTTTACTCAAAGAGAAGATGGAATTTGGAATAAACTAATAAATCTAGCGACAGCCAGGCTTGGGATTATCTCACAGGAGCGCTGGACAGTTCGGGCGTGAATGTCTCCGGACCCCAGATGCGCGATCTCCACAGTAGCATTTTGCAGGAGTCACCCTAAATGACCCCCCCCCCTCCCCCCCCCCACAGCGTACCTGCCGCCCTCGGTGATGCTGCCGCCCCGCAGGTTGCATTCTCTCCTGCGCCAAGCGGTGGAGCTGCAGCGGGATCGCTGCCTCTACCACAACACGCAGCTGGACAGCAGCCTGGACTCCGTGTCCTTGCTCCTGGACCACGTGTGCAGCCGGTGTGTCTCTCCGTGTGCCCCGCTCGTCCGCTTCCTTCCGCTCGCTCGCACGCTGACGCATAGTACAGCTAAGGTAACGCGCACTGTGCCTTCCACCTAGGAGACAGTTCCCCTGCACCACCCAGCAGGTTCTCACAGAGCACTGCAATGAGGTGTGGTTCTGCAGGTTCTCCAACGACGGTACCAAGTTGGCCACGGGCTCCAAAGACGCCACCGTCATCATATGGCAGGTGGACCCTGTGAGTGTTTGTTCTCTCTGTGCGTAAACGGGGTCCATCCGTGACCTTATACCCGTCAAGGAGTTAATTGGTGCTGGTGATAAACTGGTCCCAGCTGGGTTTGCGTGCTGTTAAGCACTGGGTTAGGCAGATCCCAGCAGGCCAAGCCTGGAAACGTATGAGAAGAAAAGGAGTGGCAGATTTAAAGATTGACTTGATCATCAATTTTCCATGCGGTTTCTTGTCATTTATGGACACACACTTTGAGCAGATGTGAAGTCGTGTCACTGACTGCAGTGTGTTTGTCAGGACTCCCACCAGCTCAGGGCACTGCGCACTCTGGAGGGTCATGCCTACGGAGTCTCCTACCTGGCCTGGAGCCCCGACGACACATACCTGGTGGCCTGTGGCCCCGATGACTGCTCCGAGGTGTGGCTTTGGAACGTACAGGTAACTCATTGTTCATACCTCTGTCACTCACACACTCGCGACAGTCAGAGTCGGCAGGTAGATGGTCCATCGATTCTGTTTATCCGTTTGTAACCTGGGCACAGACGGGAGTGCTGCGGACAAAAATGAGCCAATCGCATGAGGACAGCCTCACCAGCGTGGCCTGGAACCCAGACGGGAAGCGGTTTGTAACAGGCGGACAGCGGGGCCAGTTCTACCAGTGTGTGAGTGCATCCATCTGTCCGTCCAATAGGAGCAGGTCTCTGCTGTCCAGTAAAGCCTTCTTGTGCTCGTTGTGGGCAGAGGTGGAAAATCCAGGTCCAGAAAGTACAAATCCAGACCAAGGTTTTGTTCCAACCAACTAGTTGTATACTCTGTGAGTGTGGTTCTTTATGCTCAGCTGGCTGAAGCAAAATCCCGGTCTGGATTTGTACTTTCTGAAGCTGAACATTCCACCTCTGGTTGTGGGGCTACAAAAGAGTAATGGTGTCAGTGAAGGAACTTGTTACATGTGAGATGAACTTGCGCCCATCCCCCCCGCATTGTAGGACCTGGATGGGAACCTGCTGGACTCGTGGGAGGGTGTGCGGGTCCAGTGTGTGTGGTGCTTGGGCGACGGCCGGACGGTGCTGGCGTCGGATACGCATCAGCGTATCCGTGGTTACAACTTCGAGGACTTGACGGACAGGAACATGTGAGCGTCCACTTCAGCCTCGACGGGAGGGCGCCCCCTAGCTGCGACTCGGCTTCCGACGGCCATCCCTCTCAAATGCTCACGTCACAATCCGCTTTCTTTCCACAGTGTGCAGGAGGACCATCCCATAATGTCCTTCACGGTTTCTAAAAATGGAAGATTAGCTTTGCTGAATGTGGCAACTCAGGTGAGGGGGGGGGGTTTCTGTGTTCCTGTGTGCCCAGAGGGATTTCTCTCGGGTTTGACCGCGGAGCATTTGAGGGTCAGTGAGATGTCGCCCCCTACAGGGAGTCCACCTGTGGGACTTGCAGGACCGGACGCTGGTGAGGAAGTACCAGGGCGTGACACAGGGCTTTTACACCATCCACTCCTGCTTCGGGGGCCTCAATGAAGACTTCATCGCCAGCGGAAGCGAAGGCAAGCCTGCCGGCCCACGGCGGTGGGGGGTCACCCTGTCTGCCACGCCCCCGATTTCATCCACTTCCCTCGTTCACTTCATTGGCTCCCACTTCAGTTAATGCAAGTGTTGATTGACAGCAGACAGTAAATCCTGCACCCTCTTTATCCAGCTGCAACCTCAGCACCCGTGTTTTTATTCTCCTTTCATTTCGTGGTGAGTGTCCCCGCCAGGCAAGCAGGAGACTGGGGTTCGATTCCCCGACAGGCTCAATGAGTTAGAATGCCGTACCTGTGATCTGAGGATGGCGGTACACATCCCAGGGCCACCAGTACACATCCCAGGGCCACCAGTACACATCCCAGGGCCAGCAGAGTTATTCCACTATTAGGCCCCTGATCCACATCCCCGATGTGTGGGTTAGTGGAGATTAAGCCCCAAGGTGTACGAGATTAGTGCAGCTCCTTGACCGCTGCGCCACCTGCTGTCTTGACACTGTCTTGCACCCTCCCTGTAGACCACAAGGTCTACATCTGGCACAAGCGCAGCGAGCTGCCCATTGCCGACCTGAGCGGGCACACGCGGACGGTGAACTGCGTGAGCTGGAACCCTGTATACCCAGGGCTCATGGCCAGTGCCTCCGACGACGGCACCGTGCGTATCTGGGGTCCCTCCCCCGATCCCCAGGACAGCGAGGACCTCGGTGGTAAGTGACTGGTCTGCCAATAATTACACATCATTGGCTAGCAGAACATTAGGGTCAGTTAGCAATAATCTCAAAATGGATGCCACACTTGCTTTGTTACTGGCCTATTTCTGGACGGATATTGGATTGTAATAGTTGCCGATGGTCCACATTTAGCCTGACGCTAACCCCATGTCATGGATGATGTCCGTATTGGCGCTTTACACAGGCCCATTTACCCGAGCTGAAGGCTTCATGAGCCAAGACCACGTTAATAATGGAAGACTGCATTGTTAGATTAGCCAGACTCGAAGGTGGACATCACCAACATCAGCTGATGGACTCTTGAGTGTTTAGGAGGAACCGTATCCCAGCCTGTGATTTTGGCTGGTAATGGCGAAGAACTGGCCTAGTGTAGATAGGCAGCTGGTGGTGGTAGATATCCCAGTTTCACATTGGGACCGATTGGAACAGTGCTGGGATAATTAATTTATTGACATTTTATTGACCCCTGTGGGGAAATTCTCTTTTTCATCTACCCATTATGTTCTCCCTGACACCTAGACACACATGTAGGTGAGAGCAAACTGCCTACGAAGGGCAGCCACCTGCAGTGATGTCCGTGGAGCTGGGGGTTAAGGGTTAAGGGTTAAGGGTTAAGGGTTAAGGCTCGAACCAGCGACCAGACACAGAGGTTGAGCCCGCTGAGCCATATGCTGTCCCCAGATATGATGTCCATCTTTATAGCGTGACAAGGGGCTGGGAAAGTGGACAGGAAATCTCACCATCGTCATATTTCTCTCCCCAGAGGGCTGCCATAGCATGGATAGTTGATGACTCGAAGAAAGAAGACGTCTCTAGAAAATGAATTTAGACGGGGGGCGGAGTCAGGGAGATAAACACATTTCACACACAAGAGGCCAGCTGTGACCTCTGACGTGTTTGGCATGGTCTCACACGGCGCTCCTCCACACGCCTGACCCCCCCCCCCCCCCCCCCCCCCCACCACCACCACCCCCATCCCACAGCGCCCCCAGCTGGCGAGACCGCCACTGGCATTCCCTTTGTTCCTTGTTGTGGTCGTTCCACATGTAGCATCAAAACTCCAGAACGATATAGTGAAAATGTTGGCTTGGGTGCCACCAGAGGTGGACGGATAGAGAAATATAGGTCATCTGATTTTTTTCTGTTTAAAACGGACAAACCAAACATAAGCGAGTCACTCTCTGACCAAGCTCTTTATCCCGAGGAAACTGCTGAATGAGAGGCTGTTTGTGTTTGTGGGGCGCAGGGGAGGGACGAGAAGGCAACTCATCCCCCCCCCCTGAATTATTTATATTACCTGTAAATGACTCACAGAACTATTTATACACAAACCCCTTTTTTGAGAATGCCTGCGTCCCTTAGGTCCTGTTCACTCACCAGCAGCGATTTGTGCTTATTTTCACACGTACGTTTCGAGAACATTTTAAATTTTCGGATGTTTGGGTTTGTTTTGGAATCACTTTTATTATTGATTTGAGCTGGGGGCAGACTCCAATATTTCTAAAGTTCAGTGGTTATGCGTGAAGGACAAATGATTTGGGTGGGGGGCGGCGGGGGGGTTTAAGGGATATTAAGGAGGCCACTGAGCTGATGCTACCTGATTGGAGGAGCTCAGTGAGGCAGATTTGGTGCCAGTACTGCTGGGAAACTGGTGGACAGGGGTATGCAGTGACAGGAGGGGGTGACCTTAACAAGGGTGTGTCCTGTAGGACAGCAGGATGATCTCGTTGGGTCTCTTTCCAGAGGAGAATGAAGAAATGTTCTCACCGAACCCAGCCGGAACGTGCCCTCAAGCCTTCCGATCTAGGGCAACTCCGCCTTTTCCCACTGGCAGCTGTGGGCTACATTTGTCTGAGACTTCAAACCCCTGAACCTTCAGGAAAGCCAGCAGTACTGCACACTCACAGAGGATGATTTAGCAGAGCACGACATGTAAAGGAGAGAATTCTCAAGCAGCTCAGATACACTCTGGAGAAGCACTAGTGGAAGGGATGCGTGTGTGTCACATGTAACAGTGACCCAGTGATGATTGTAAGTGGCCACTTTGCACTCACCTTTGCGGGGGGGGGTGGCAGCTCTCACTGGTTGTCACATGACCCTTTTGCCACGTGTTCCTGAACAGCTCTCTAGCGCCCCCCCCCTCCCCCCCATAGCAATTTGCCCCTCAGTACTGGTTCCCAGCTCAGACAATAAGCCTCGTCCACCCTCTGCCAACCATATCCAAGCATGGCGCCCCCTTTTGGCTGTTTCCCCCCCATATGCTCACCCCCCTCACTCATCCCGGTATCCAATCTTACTCCCGACTTGCTTTCAGTTTTTCTGAGGATGACTGACAGTGGATTGACAGGCTGAACTCTTATTACTTTAGTTGTGTTCATGTTATTTCTGTAGGTTGCAGTTTTTCTTGTGAGATGCTATTAATATATGCATTTAGCCTCTGGCTGTGCATTTTTTACACCGGCTCCCCCTGTGTGTCCCTAAAAACCTGCACCGCTGATCTGGCCGGGTTAATCGCCACGGCAACACGCTTCTCGGGACCCGGGGGGCCGCGACGGCCCCGGGACGGGGTAGTGCATGCGTGGTCCTGCCCGCTGCCCGCCTGGCGTGAGCGATGGAAGACCGTCGCTGTTCACGCATGTCCGTTTCGCTCGTCTCCATCTTGCCGCATGTAATGCGTCTCGGGCGGCGCAGGGGGGCTGGCAGCCAATGCGGCGCATCACTACAGGCTATGGTCATTATTGCAGAAGTGGCTGTAATGTTATGTGACGTAGGAGAAACGTGTGTGTGTGTTTTAAATAAAGCCATCAGGGATTTACGGTGAAGCCCGACTCCGACTCCTTTTTCTACTGCATTCACAGAACAGCCGCACACGGCCCAGGGTTCGAGGCAGGAGTGCTATACACAGAGCCACTGCATTCACTCAAATGGCTCTGGGTTCAAATTCCATGCCCCACAGTCAGAGGTGGATAGCTTAGGTCTAGATAGTAAAAATCCAGACCAAGATTATGTTTCAACCAACCAGTTGAGTACTCTCTCACTGTGACTCTTTATACTAAACTGGTTGGTTAAAATAAAATCTTGTTCCAACCCCCTGGGCCTAGACATGGATTATCCACCTTTGCAGTGGTCTAAACAGCAGAATCAATCACCAGCTTCCAATGCAAACAAACCTGAATCAGACAAACCATAAGAAAACGATGGACAAGATTCACAAAGACAACTCTGTCATGGAGATGCAGAGCAGGAAACACAACGTATAGCCGTTAAGCAGGAGAGGGAGAGTCCGTGGTCACTAGAGACTTACTGTTCAAATGCCGGAACATTCTACCTGTACTCGTGTCTGTGCTGTATGGCCATTTGCCCATTGTCTCCACATAGGGGCCTTTTCAAAATGGCAACCATTTTCTCAGGAAAAGAAAGACTGATTTCTGGTCATAGGTTTATTTATACATACTGAAACGGGGAGTAAACATTTCTTCAGTTTTGCACTTATTTTCAAATTAACATTCGTAATACAGTGTTAATTACTGTCAACCAATTATTACACCAGAGTGCCAGGATTTAGCCAAAATGACATTCAGCTTTTAAACAATGATGTGTACTAGTTTGCTACTGATATTTTGTAAACACAGGCAAACCTGTGACTTATTAAAATCCATACTTACATTGCAGACATAACCCCTGCAGATTTGGGAAAGCAAAACCCAGTATACAGGTGAATTTCTAAAGGCAGCACTGAAATATGGCACGAACTTCCAGAACAAACAGCTAACAGCATACCTCTAAAGCAAACCATCTTCCCCAGTAATCAACGCGATAAATCAGTCATGTGACAACGTTCAACTCGATGGCATCTTGAATCCAACCTACTTAAACCAGAACCTTCCAAGGTCCAAATCTGGCTTTTGAGTTGATCTGGAACATAATTCACCAGACAAAAGTATGAAAAAACAATTGTTTGTATTACCGAACAGTTTACATCACTTACAAGAATATGGAAAAACACTTAATAATGAACAAGGCTGGAAGCAACTCCCATTGAGTTGCTTTTATCTGCAGAGTTAAACCCAGTGCGGCATGATAAGATCACCTACAACAAATCTGACCCACAACTCACAGTCCCATCAGTCTGAGTCAGGAGACCTCACAGTCCCATCAGTCTGGGTCAGGAGACCTCAAAGTTCCCCCCTGAAGACCCGCCCCCCCCACATCATCTTACACGTGGTAGCTCCAGCACACATGGCTCAGCTAATCGCCGACTTAAAGATTTGATATCTGATTGTCGCCGGGTGCATTAGCACGTCTACAAAGAACACGAGAGGAGGTTCAGGGTGATCTTTGGGAATGGTTATCCTAAGCATGACGGAAATATTGAGCACTATGATTTTGGTCAGTCGAGAACTTTGTGTCTTTCAGGCAGAAGTGGAGAACCGAGGTCCATAGGAAGTGAGAACCCTGACAAACAATTCAGACTTGTAAACCTGTTTTTTTGGCTGGCTTTAAGAATCAGTCGCAAGTTCTTAATCACATCGATTTCATCACTACCCATCTAATCATCTAATAAACTGTATAAAATTAGCCCCCCCCCCCGGCAGCCCTGGAACGTGCTGAAGCGGAAATACGGCCCAGGTGAGTGGACAGCCATGACGCACTGAATGGAGTTCGTGTTTCTCCGTGAACGAGAAAACCTGAAGTTGCTCCATTCAGGCAAACGCTGCTGTCACTGGACATCCACGTGGAAGTTAAGAGTGAACGTCCCACAGTCAGACAGCGTCACTCTGATGTGACACGTGGGAGGCTCAAGCAAACACACACACACGCTCACTTTTTTGTACGTAACGTGGCTTTGTGGTTTTTATTTGAGTACTATCGTTTAATTTGGGCCATTGATTGAATCATTATCTAATTACTGTATAATCTAAGAGTCTTCCCCCATGTCCAAGGATTAATACTGTAGCCTCAGGATGTCAAAAACACACACACACACGCACGCACGCACGCACACACACACACACACACACACACACACACAGACAGACAGACAGACAGACACACACAGACCCATCACTCGCACACATAAAGATCAGTCTCCTACACACCAACACTCAGTATAATGGTCAATTTCTCTCTCTCTCTCACACACACACACACACACACACACACACACACAGACCCATCACTCGCACACATAAAGATCAGTCTCCTACACACCAACACTCAGTATAATGGTCAATTTCTCTCTCTCTCTCACACACTCACACACACACACACTCACACACACACACACACACACCACCTTTGTAAATCTTATTTCATCCATATGTAGAGCTCCACAATGGTTAGACTGGGAGTGATCTAGTGTTTGACAGGTCATAGTTATAGAGCAGGTTGATGGAATGGGTGGGGTTATGATGAAAGGACCGAGGGCAATTCCTGATTTCTGATTGGGCCGCTGGAGTGTGACTGTCACCAGGAAGCATCAATCGTTGATCAGAGCCAGGATCATACTGTGGAAAACAGGAAGTAGGTGGGAGTTAATAGGCAGGTTACATCTGTGATTAATGACAATTCAATGGAAGAAACGTATTACACTGTTAAGGGTTATCTGGTGAGGTCATTCTCCCCAGGTCACAGCTATTAACAGGCTACCTGGTTTATTAATCCAAAGTTTGTGATTAACACACCTAAACCTGTCAGATGAAGAGATGCACTAATGACATATTCAGTGCTGTAACCAAGACCCTGAAATTGTCACCAGTTTTTGGCAAAGGGCAGCCAAAACAGAATACTGGGATTTGAACCTGGTACCAGTCAAAGTACAGTGTGCACATGTGAGATGGTGTTAGATTAATCTGCCCACACTAGCTTCATGGTGTTTAAAAGACTCTAATCTCACAGGTCGTACCTCCCGCTATAAATAACGTTATGTCTTACCCTCCAAAAAGATGGTAATTTGCACCATCGGCTAGAAGACCCACAGCCTGACCCCAAATTCAGCTTCAGACCCACGGCCTGACCCCAAATTCAGCTTCAGACCCACGGCCTGACCCCAAATTCAGCTTC